CACTCTTCAACCATGTCAACTGATTATTTATTTTAAATATTTTTGAACCTGCTGTTATAGGGCGCTGTAACATTTTATGACATCACCATTAATTTTGTTTGTAAAGAACAACTTAGTCAGAGCATACATCGTTGAAAGCAAGTTCACATCCTTCACCAATTTTAAATTACCAGGCACTTCCGGTTTTAACCGGAAGGAAGGGTCACGTGATTTTGCACATAATATCAAAAACTAAGACCCTGCATTATTCTATAAATTCTCGTAAAAATCAAGTTCAGGTCTCTCAGGGTTGATTTTATATTGATTTTTAAAGATTAAATCTATTAATCTTAAACAGTTTCTCAGACTGGACACATGGCCATTCTAGACCAATGAAATTACAGAATCCAAGCACACACTATAAACAAGTCAGGTGTGTTTACAAACACAAATGCCCCGCAACCGTGACTGTTCCCATGACCTAACACCACTCTTTTAACATCAACTTACATGTACATGTACTTGGGTCACATGGAACGTTCATTGACAGCATTAGTGTTTTCAGTAGGTTTTATATGAATTAATCCCTATGTTCTCAGAATAAATACAAGATTTTTATTGTTTTAGCTACTGTGACCTTGACCCTTGATATTTTGGCCCAAAATGCAATAGGCTTCTTAGGATTACCAAGAACAATCCACAAACCAAATTTGAAGTTCACATGTACAGTATTTCTCAAGTTATCGCGCTGACAAAATTCTTTTGTTTTAGCCGCTGTGACCTTGACCCTTGACCTTTCAACCCCCAATGCAATAGGCTTCGTAGGATTGCCAAGAACAATCCACAAACCAAATTTGAAGTTCACATGTAAAGTATTTCTCAAGTTATCGCGCTGACAAAATTTCTTTTGTTATAGCCACTGTGACCTTGACCCTCGACCTTTCGGCCCCCAATGCAGTAGGCTTCTTAGGATTGCCAAGAACAATCCACAAACCAAATTTGAAGTTCACATGTACAGTATTTCTCAAGTTATCGCGCTGACAAAATTCTTTTGTTTTAGCCACTGTGACCTTGACCCTTGACCTTTCAACCCCCAATGCAATAGGCTTCTTAAAATCCATATATCTATTTCGTGAAAAACTTGTGGGGTACCAAAACGGTAGCCCCAAGTCGGAGGGCATTCCTTGTGGGGTACCTCCCATTCCTTGTGGGGTACCTCCCATTGTTCCGGTACCCCACAAGGCAGTGTTTGTACACGCACCCACGCACACACACACCCACCCACCCACCACCCAACCACGGAAGGACAAGGCGGAAACAGTATGCCCCTTTGGCTTTGCCGCGGGGCATAAAAAGCATTTTATACCACTGTAGGTCTCAAAGCACTACACAATTATTACCCTGTTTATCTGGCCATCAGACCAGTTTTTTATTTGCCACAACTCAAGATCAGCGCAATCTGGTCCTTACATATACAGGTACCCCTTTATACTCCTGGGTGGAGAGAGGCAACTGTAGTAAAGTGTCTTGCCCAAGAACACAAGCACCATGTTTCCTGTCAGGGTTCGAACTCATGTACCATGGCACATGAGTTGAACACCATAACCATAGGACCACAGCACTCTACCTAAACTGGTTTTGGAAATGATCATGGAAATCGTGCCATGTGTAGTTTTTGTGTCATCACTTTCTGGAGTGCTTCAAACACTTGACTAATGGGAGCATTTAAGTAAGGAGTTCAGAGGATTAAATTCATTTTCAATAATAATCACCTTGACTCTAAAACCAATGGCATCCAACCTTTCATGCTGAGCCTTAAGAGTGTCTTCAGACTAATGTCTTACGAAAAATGACAAAGTACCGGTATATTGGTGAGGCTGGAAAAGATTGATAGATATTGCGCACACCAGTGTTACAATTTTCAAAATTGAACGTAGCAAGGCCTATTTTTCCAATTTCAACTAAAAGTAATAAACATATCACAATGACTTTTACCAGACACTTGGATCAATATAGGGGAAATAAATCCTGAAAGTTGCATGAAGATACCGTCTTCCAAACGGGAGAAATTAATTTTCAAAGATTTCACCCGCCAACGTGAACATGTCTGTGTACATGTAGTTTCATTCAAAATAAAGTGTTACGTGACCTTTAGAAATCGCCCTTCGCAACCATATGGCTGTAAGGGCTGCATTATACACAAGCTTTGCTGTGTATCCAAATGTAGTCAATAGTGGACCTTGAAAATAGAGCATAATAGGGTCCACGACATGGTGAAGGTCTATAGTTAGAAATCATGTACAAAACCACTGGGGTTTCTTCAAACAAATATGAGCCTGTCCATGATATCAAAATCTCAGTACCCCACAGGTTTGAGACTTTATTGAAAACAAAAGTCAACAAAAATATCGTGAACCATACAAATTTCCTAATCTGATAGATCATACATCGAGACACATTTGTTTTGTTGCGACAGTCACTGGACCATTGCTTCCACAGGATTACAGGGAGGTTAATTATAGGTGAATTAAAAATGCAAACAAAAGCTTGATCAAAGCAGTTAGGTATTCGAAAGTTAATCGGGCGAGATGTGGAAGTGGGTGACGGGGCAAAGCCATCTCTTACAATATGAACTAGAAAGCACTCAGAGAGCGCAAACCTCTGCCAAGGCTCAACAATTCCCCGCCATATTGTCAGTACACCCAAAAGAAATACTCACATATCCACTAGACTTCCATACTTTGTAAACCGTAACTGAAAAATTAAATCATTTTTTTTTATTAATTCTTTTACACTGTAGCGACTGCCCATTTAACTTTAACTATGTGCAACCCACTGCCAAGGTCAACGGGTCAAGCATATCGACAATGTTTTCACGAAGTGAAAAAAATCAATAATTTTTTGATTTTGAGTTTTGCTGGCCAATTTATTGCACTTGACAAAAAGAAGAATTTGGCTGAGTTTCAAAGCGAAATATTGTTTACTTTTGTAATTATCGTAAGCAAACATTTGACAAAATGCCTGAAATCCGTGTTTTTCTGTTTTCACAAAGTGACAAAAACTTACCTCGTTAGCAGGGCCAGAGGAGTAATGCATATTCTCTACACACGCGTTAGGATGGGAGTGGACGTGCGCGCCGTGAACGATGTTGATAAAGAACAGACACGCGCGCGCTGCAGTGCGTAAGACGTGCAGATGTAATAATTTCTTAGAACGTTTTATTATTTTCACGAAGTGACGAAGAGTGTGTACAACTTAATGGGACAAAAAAAGTGAGGCCTCTAGGTTTTGCTGTTTTCACGGGGTGAAGATTATCTTCATTGATCTTTATTAATGAATTACAGTTTAATTAAGAGAGACTTCTAATAAACAACTTTGAAGAACAAAGCATACGTTACTTGCCAATGCAAGAATTTCCTAAATCCATAACTAACAACTAGTCGAAAAGGTGTTTTGAAAAAAGGATTAACTCCAAATGTGATTATCTCGGAATGACCTTTTTGCATGGTATTGAGGGTTTTGTCACTTCGTGAAAACACCGTTGTACTTGACCGGTTGTGTTTGCACACATTCCCCACTCCCAGTCCACACGGTGTGTGCCCCAAACGCTCATGTACACTGCACACTGCGTTACCCACACAGGTACGTACATGTATATAGACACAGGCAATCTTTTCTACACAAAATGTGGTGAAGAATCCTTACAAAAATCCTGGATCCTCACCCAGATCCCATCTAATAGATTCGCACTTGTACCAAGGACTGCCCCTACACAAATTTTCATGGAAATCCGTCCACAACTCTTCGAGTTATCCTGTCCACAGACAAACCAACCTACCAACCAACCAACAAACAAACAAACCGACACCCGTGAAAACATAACCTCACTGGCGGAGGTTATAAGAATGGATGTTTCTACTTGCATACCAAATTTGAAGAAAATGAAGCATTGCATGTTTGAGATTGGGGGGGGGAACCATTCTCTCAGGCTGTGAAACGAGAAAAATGGCTATTTAAGGTTTATAGGGAACCCTCTTACGAAATTTAACCTGAACGGAAGTTGCTGTTGCCTGCTTGAAACCATAGCATCTATTTCCTATGCAAGTTACCTTGATCTTTGGTTCTTTGGTCCAAGCCCAATCCCAGTTTTCTTTTTGAAATGACCCTTTACTTACTGAGTTTTATGATAATAATACGGGTTACATTAATACTCCTGAATCCAACCAATAGGATCCATACACTTTTAACCCAACCATGGTATTATAAACATCATTGTCAATGCATGGACACAGCCCTGGAATGGAATGATTTTTGTCAACTCAATATGTGATAACTGGGCATATCCATTCAATTAAGTGCTCTCACTTCTAGAGTTGTTCCCCCTCTCCCTTTGAATCTTAGAAAATACTGCAGGGACATACACTAGTCTTTTTCACACTAAATCTAGTCGAAACCCATTCAAAATGATACTGGATGAAATGGTAGTGTTCAACAACTTGCCATTATTGCAGGGCTACCACTTTCACTATTTGGTATATGCACAGAGCCTACATGTGTGGCTGAGGTGACACCGGGAAACTAAGTACTTAAATCAATGCATAAATAGTTATAAATGTAAGATGAAAGACATTGCCATGATCAAAATATGAGTATGTCTCCTTGATAAAGTTTGCTATGGTGAAATGCTTATTGGTACAAATTTATATTAATAGAGCTAAGCTAGTTCCTCTTTTATGTTTTTCAACAGTCTATGCAATGAATCCCTTTTATGTGATTATAGACCCAACAATTAGCCCCGTACCCTGACTCATCTACCCTCTTGCCCACCCTTGGTTAGTTTCATTGCACCTTCAAACATTTTGAGGCAAGGATTTCACTTTAATTTTGTTGGTACACTCATATTTCTAGAACCTTCACTTTCTAAAGACATGATGAAGTATTTAACATTTTTCTTTACTTGGGTTTAATACTTCATAGTGTGGTATATTATATTTAGGGGCAAATGTACTAAAAATGGCATGGATGGTTTGCCTTCAACGTTTACATACCTTTGACTGAGAAAACTTTAGCCCAACACCTTCCATGGTAACTTGCAGAAGGCCACCTTGACCACTCTTAACATCTTGAATAGGAAATTCTCCCCCTAACTCTGGCTCTACAATATATAACAAATCAATATATAGTACACAAAGGTTATAATCAATCACCATGATGTAAAATTAAAACAAATCCATAACACTTTTAACCATTAACAATAGTGTGTTGTTGATTAAAAATGGCACACAGAAAACAGACATTTCAATTCAGATGATTTTTATTTCAGATAGAATTGTTGGGCTGCAAAAAAGGTCTCCTTCAAGAAAGTGTGAAAGCGGTTGCAGCAATGGAGTTGGCAACCACACAAGACGGTCTTGATGGTAGAAAAGAACTATTCCTTCATATGATAAAAAGGCCTTAACTCAAGTTAGAAACATGAAGAGTGGTAACGAGCTGAGCATGACCAGGTCGCAAAATACCAGATGATCCTTATTACTTTTGTAAAGAGAGGCAGACCCAAATACATCCAATGGGTGCATGTCTAAAAAAAGTATCTTACATGTGTACCTGCTTCAGAGGAAAGAAGGACACACTAAAATACTGAAACTAGAAGCCTAACACAGATCCAATACTAACTAGAGACAGAGCTCACATCTTTTTCATATGTCATAAACTTTGCCACAATAATCAACTGAAAATTCATTTTAAACATTTTTTTTCAACCTGCAGCTAGACGACATTACCGTTATTTCTTTTCTTAAGTACAACATAGCAAGAGACTATAGTTGTTTAAAGCAAGTTCACACCTTTTCCACTTTCAAATTATAAGGCACTTCCGGATTGGACCGGAAGGAAGGGTCACGTGATTAGGCGCACACAAGATAAAATGAAGATCCTAAATTATTCTATCAACTCCCGCAAAAGTCAAGTTCAGGTCTCACAAGGTTGATTTATATTGATTTTCAAAGATTAAATCTAGAAATCTTTACTAGCTTGTAATTTAACACCCGATGATGTCATCATGAGTCAGAGTAATATGCACCACTTGACTAAAGGCTCGCATTTGTTGAGTTACCAACACTTGGTGATCGGGCCAAAACTATGTCATAGGACATTGCCCAATTGTGAATATGTTTATGTCAGAACGGAAAAAGGATCATGAAATTCAGCCTTTCCAGTCAGCAGTTAAAATGTGCGAACTGAATTCTGATTTAGATCAGAGAGGATACATGTTCATCATGAGGTGAAAAGAACTTCTGAAAATATAGAATTTATCATGCACCTTTAGTCGGGTAGGATGACATCGCAGCATTTTGAAGTGCAAGGTCAACAAGGTACTGGGTATCATTATTTTGTGGTAAAAGATAGTCATTAGACACAGATCAAATGACGGATTTGAATTTTAAAGAAACAAAAAAACTCCCCCCATCAAAGTGTGGGCCGATTCTACTAGCGAATACTTACCTGTAGAATATCACTACATATGGCTTATTCCCTGAAGGGTGCTAGCCATATGCTAAGATTTATTACCCACAGTACCTTGCCATACTTCCTCTTTTCTCGAGCATAAGATGCGTAAGTGAACGCGTACGTGAGAGTGGAGAGGCGGGTGGGCACTCTACAAGAGTAGTCGCTAGTAGAATCAGCCCACACGATGGGGGGAGGGGGGGGGGGTTAAGGTGCAAAAATGAACGCGTTTGGTTAGTGGACCACTTTGAGAGAGATGGCATGCTGGCGACACCAGTGCAGTAGTTGCCATGTGAGTAGGCATGCGGGTAGGCTTGGGGAGTGTGTCCCGCCTTGCTGGTTGATGTAGGACACCACAGTCCTGTTGTCCCAGCGGATGAGAACAGATTGACCCTGCACTATGCAGTGAAAGCAGTGAAGGCCATTGAGGACCGCTGTCAGTTCGAGAAAATTGATGTGGTGCGCGGTCTGTGCTGAAGTCCAGGAACCCGCCGTCTGATGAGGTCTCGCCATTGGAAGGGAAGGGACTCGAGACGCTTGCGAGCTCCATCAGAGGGCAGAAATATGGCATGCAGAAATGCTGCCTGTCTTGTCTCTATGTTGTGACGACACACACGAGTAAGTTCGTGACCAACTCAGTCCATGACCAACTCGGTCTGTGACCAACTCGGTCCGTGACCAACTCGGTCCATGACCAACTCGGTTCGTGACCAACTCGATCCGTGATTAACTCGGTCCGTGGCCCACATGAACAATGGCTAGTCTGAGAATCATCCATTCTCCACGCAGCCCATCTCCGGTAGAACGCCTGTCATTTCATTCCGAAATCAGGACTAAGATTATGATTGGTCAATTTCGATGCCACGTTTTTGGAATACAACAAGCTGAACAAAAATGCTACTCATTGCAGGCGTGATGTTTACGCACGCAGGGAGCTTGCATTATGCACGTATACAAGGCGTATGCTGATTGGTCAGTTTCTTGAGGTCATACGCAGTCTAGTTGCATAATTAATAGCCTAATCTATTTACATATCATAGACCATGGTCGGCTTCGCCAGAACCAGGGTCTATCACATAGACTACACAATGGTCGCCAGCTAGTTACACTAATTTTACTGTGTCTTATGCAGATTTCCGGCCTAGCCCGCCTGCGATTTTTGTTCCCCAAACGACATCTGAATGGGGTGTATGCTGCATGACGTTTTGGACTTTACTTCTCTTAAAAACATGAGAAAAAATATAACAATTAGAAAAAAGAAATGAATTTGAATGTAATGAAATTCAGACTTTATTGCCCTTAATAAAAATCCTCCAAAGTCTCAGATTAGAAAGAAAAAAACTCTGGTAAAACTGGTGATTTGAACCCATAACGCGAGAATCCCTTGCGGTACAAAATCAAGACCCTATCAGCTGAGCTATCAAACTGCTCGACAAATCCTGAATATTCATGGAAATATATACCTGTGTACCATCATAAAAGTATCATAGAGGGTGCTCAACAACCATGTAATGTGAGTGTGGTTTTGGAAAAAGGTCACGTTGACCAGCCGTTGCTGGTGGTACAGCGCTAGCTACAGGCCTGCAGGCGCCACGCGATAAATCCTGCTGTGTTTATCGCACAGCAGCAAAAAGTGGCAACATTTCGATCTCTTTCTTATTTAAATAAAGCAATTCCCATGAAATTATAAACAAAAAGTAACAAGAAAGAATTTCACAAATATTTAGTTGAATTGTCAAATATGTTTTTTTTGGTAATGGCGATGATGTAAAACACCACTGCGGAGTTTGAATGAATGAAGGCTAAGATTATTTATGAGGGGTTCCATATTTTTAAACAAAACTTTAAAGGATTTCCAGCAACCCCAAATGTACAAGATTATATCAATCATTTTGATAACGTCAGGCCTGAAACAGTTTCCAAAGGTAACGATCAATTGATGACAATGGGGTCGTTCAGACAACGTTTTAAATTCCCTATCGGTTGAACTCGATTCAGTGTAACTTTCTTGTTAAAACGATGTCTGAACGCTTTTTTATTTAGACCGAATCGAGTTGAACTCGAAAATAAAACGGCAACTTAAACCCCCTCGGAGGGAGGGTTTAGAGAAAAACCAGAACGAGTTTATCTTCTAGTACGATGTCTGAACAGTTTTAGCTAAAACGCTTCCCGTTTTAACCAGCGCAGTGACCTGGAGTTACGTAACGCCTTCTCCGTGGCGCGCTTTTCTATTAAGCAAACAATGTCCTAATTCTCCTACAGTTAAAAAAATCCAATTTCAAGTCCAATTTCCGCAAGTTTTCTGACCACATGGTCTGAGTTTCACATCGTGCTCACTCGCACACACGATGCGATGACAAACATGTAGATGCCAACACAACAACCGCTAACCGGAGCATAATTATCATAATACACTAATATATTCAACTACCAGCAGTTTTTCCCCTGGCTAATGAACTGAGCGAGGTGGTAACAATTCAAGTTGATGATTAAAACGAAATTTACGCAGTCTGCAAACTGAAAAGAATGCAGCGCTCACAAAAATGCGCGATGATTCCAAAAACACATCGAAATTGTGAGTTCTTGATACATGGAGTTAAAGGAAAATGCTCATATATTACACAAAATGAAAATTTTCAATTGATATTTCCTTTTTTGCCCATCTTCACAGCGAGGTGGTGATATTGGCAAAAATTGAGCGAGGTGGTCACTGAAAGTAGCGAGGTGGGCCACCTCATGTTTGAATGGGCAGGGGAAACACTGACTACCAGGAAAACCTTGGCGTTGATTGGTCAATATTGCAACATTAATATCACGTGTATTTTCACGTGATGTTGTGCAGGCAAGTTGATGTATTAAACCTTGAGTGAAATCTGTTCAATGACATCTTGTTTCGAACACTGGTTTTCAAACAACTTTTCAGAACATTTTTTGTCTTTTTGCACCACGAAAGGAACAGAAAATAGCCCCCAAAATGTAAACACAAATGGTGTATATGTAAGCCGATGTACGATACTTCCCAAAAATGGGGAAATTGCCGCGGTGGACAAGTGACTGTCGTCCTGTTTATCGCGTGCCACGCTACATGACCGGCCAAGGCTGCGATGTCAAACACGGCATGGCAACACACATCACACGGTGAGGGGCTCAGACCATGTGTAGCGAACTGTTAAAATGGAAGAGTGAAGGCTCTTTTTAGCGCGCGTTTTTTGCCAAGGCGGATGTTTTACGTGACCTTAGAAACTGAGATAAACTGCTTCAAGTTGAACTTGCTGTACTTAAAACGATGTCTGGACGCTCGGTAGTTTTATTTTTACGACGGGCCCCCCGTGGTGAGCGACCGTTTTAACTTTTACCATTTTAGCTAACACGGTGTCTGAACATGGCCAATGTTGCATTTTTTTTCTGCGCTGAGTGACTGGAGTACGGGCCCCACCCCGCCAGCAGCCTGCCTAGCCTCGGCACAAGTAGGTCATGCATGAAACTTTATTTTAACTTTAACAAGAGGGGAGGGGGCCGAACTGATTGATGCCCATGACGATACGTATCTTACTATAACAAAAAGGCACTAATATACAGTGTTGGAGCAAAGGCTTTGACCCTCAAGGCCAAGGCCAAGGCTTTGACCCTTAAGGCCAAGGCCAAGGCCAA